CACTCTCACACACACGCACTAATTGACATCAAGGTCATGGGTCAGAATAAATTCTTAGGACTATGCCTGGATTTAAGTAATTTTTATGAAAGGATTATAGGCAGCCGTCATTACCTTGAGATTTAATAGGTAGAGTGATCTCATTGTGCAGACGTAGAAGCAGGCTCAAGGGCATGAGATCTGCTAGAGCACCAACCATGTGCCAGCCCCTGGAGTGGGCAATGTAGAGGACAGGAGTGACTAGGCAGGGATGGGCTCTGCCTTCTGAGCTGTCCGGGTGGGTGGCCCCCAAAGGCCAGAGATCATGTGGTCCTTGACTCCACCAACCCTGGCCTATGTGACCTGCCAGGACCTTCGTAGCATCGCAGACCCTGCAGAGCAGATGGTCATGGTGATCAAGGCCCCCCCCGAGACCCAGCTCCAAGCCGTGGACTCCTCGGAGGTGAGGCCTGGGAGTCTAGCCCAGACCAGGACGGGCTGGGCTGGGCTGGTGGTCCAGCCGAGCCTTGGTTTACCCTGCCCGCTGCCTCCGCCCAGACCTTTCAGATCTCTCTCAAGAGCAAACAAGGCCCCATCGACGTGTTCCTGTGCCCCGAGGAGAGTGTGGGCGGGACCAGCCCTGGAAAGACCCCGTCCCAGGGGGCAGCCTCGGGGGAGGAGGACAGGGCAGCTGACCTTGCCACCGCAGTGCCGCCGCCACCATCACCGCCGTCCACATCGCCTGCTACGGATCCCAGCCAGTCCCTGCTCAGCCTGGAGCAAGGTCGGTGAAGGCGGGGTGGGCGGGGTGGGCCGGGCCCCTCGCAGGCGGGTGGGCAGGTGTGTCAGCCCCTCCCCGCTGGGGTGTCCCCAGCCTGTGATGCTCCCCCGTCTCCCCAGAACCTCTGCTTTCCCGGATGGGCGGCCTGCGGGCCCCCGTGGACGAGGACCGCCTGTCCCCACTGGTGGCGGCCGATTCACTCCTGGAGCACGTGAGGGAGGACTTTTCCGGCCTCCTCCCCGAGGAGTTCATCAGCCTGTCTCCCCCCAACGAGGCCCTCGACTACCACTTTGGCCTCGAGGAGAGTGAGGGCATCAGAGACCTCTTCGACTGTGACTTTGGGGACCTCACTCCCCTGGATTTCTGACAGGGCTCAGGGGGACCAGGGCCTCCTGAGATGCCCACCCCATCTCTGCAGCCCTGGAGCCCCCCGCCCCTGGCCGTCCTAGCCTAATTGGAAACGTTTAATTTATGCCCCTCTCTCCTACCTCCAGAGGCTTCTAGCTCTGGAGTCTGGCTTCTGCCAGGAGGCTGAGCAAGCCAGGAAGGGAAGAATTCTGTTTGTGGTGTGTTTGTGCATGCACCCAACCCCCGACGTGTGTGTCCACGGGGTGAGTGGTGTGTGAGCATGTGTGTGTGCATGTCCCGGGGAATGAAGGTGAACACATCTGTGCGTGCACTGAAAACACGCCCCAGTGTGTCCACGTGTGTGTGCATGAGTCCATGTGTGCGCGTGGTGGGGGCTCTAACTGCACTTTTGGTCTTCTTGCTCCAGGGGCCCCACAAGGCCCAGGGTGGCCACCTGCCCCCAGAATCCTGTGTGCTGACCAGGCCAGGTGGAGAGGCCTTGGCCTGCTTGTTGGCAGGACAGTGAGAGCACTTCTATCGTCTTAAAGGTTTTTCTGATTGAAGCTTTAATGGAGCGTTATTTATTTATCAAGGCCTTTTTGGCAAGCTTGGGGCATCAGCAAAGGGTAGGAGGGATGTGGGACTGGTGCCGCAATTCCCTTACCCTCTGAGCGAGGGCAGGGGTCCCTGAGCTGTTCTTTGCCCCACTCCGAAGGAGCTGAGGCCTGAGTGGTTTATTTATTCAGAAAGCGAGGGAGGGAGATACAGACTGACTGACTGACAGCCATGGGTGGATCAAGGGGGTGGTCCCTCCCCATGGGGTCACTGCAGGGCCCCAGCTGCCCCCAGGATGGATGTGAGATGGGAGAGGTGAGTGGGGGACCTTCACTGACAGGGTGGGCGGGAGGGGTGGGGCGAAGGGCCTCCCCCCCCTCAGCCCAGACCACAGGGGCCCTTCCTGTGGCATTTGAAGTGCCCCCTCCACCCCACTTCTTGCTCTGCCCCACCCTCCAATCTGCACTTTGATTTGCCTTCCTAACAGCTCTGTTCCCTCTGCTTTGGTTTTAATAAATATATTGATGGTGTTTGGGCCCGGTTTGGGGACTGTGTATTGGGAGCAGGTCTGTGGGTGGGAGAGGTCAATGTTGCTGGCATGATGACCGTCCCCTACTTTCCGTTTCCCTGTCCCTGCCTGGTTTCATCTTATTTGAGCCTCACAGCCCCAAGAATGATCGGCTTCATCACCTTTTTTAAAATCCTAATTAAAAAACTGGTCCAGTAAAGTAAGCAATGAATTCCCTTTTTTTCCAGCCACAGAGAGGCCACCCTGATCAGTTGGCTATGCTCCTTCCAGATGTTTCTGGACATTTGTAAACAGGCAACAGATAATTACAACCAGCTGATTCTGTGTCAGGTTCTGGGGACACGTGTTCCTTCCCTTTGTGGAGCTCTCAGAATCTGCTGGAGGAAACTCAAATAAATGAGAGAATCAGGGAGGGCTTCCTGGAAAAGGTGGTGCCCGACCTAAAGCTGTAGGATAGTAGAAATTAACTGAGAAGGAAGAGGAAGAATACAGCAAGCAGGAGAAGGCAATATGGGCCCAGGACCTGAGAGAAACCAGGGTGGCTGGAGCCCTGAGGTGAGGGCCAGAGTGGAGAGACATTCAGTCTTGGGCTTTATTCCGGGGGAGAGAACTGGTGAGCCAGAGAGGAGTAATGCTCCCTTTTCATGTTTTAAAAGCTTCCTCTGGCTGCAGCGGGGGATGATAGATTGAAGAGGGGGACCCGTGGTAGGGGCAGGAAGTCTGAGTTGAGCTTGAGCGTGGAGGGTGACTGGCAGGCGGTCCACACGATCTGTTTAGCACACCCTTAGGTGGGCTTTCTCAGAGCCGACCTCTATTTAAAGCCCTCACTGCCATTCCCCGAAACAATCCGATCTTCCCTTACTCCCATTTTGCAGAAGGTACACTCACAGGTGCAGGTGCTTGCGGGTTTTGCCCACCAGGTGGCGCGCCTGTGCTCCCGCAGTTAACCCGACGCCGTAAAGATGTGGGGACCCGCCCTCAGTGGGCACGCGCAGCCCCTCCTGTCCTGTTCCTGGCTGTGTAATATTCCACACCGGCCGTCATTCGCTTAGCCGGTCCTCAGGAGGGACTGACCCCTTGGGTGACTTCTCCCCATTGGCCGCCACCCCCGGGGAATGGGGAGTCGCACAGGTGCATTGTATTGGGGCTCTGCATTGCGTGGCTCTTGCCGCCTTAAAGGCTGGAGTTTGCTCCCCTTTGCCAGACGGTGAAGCTGAGGCCCTTGGAGGCGGGCGGGCGGAGGGCCGCGCTCTGGCGCTGGCCGGGGCTGGGCAGGGAGGGGGGCCTCGGGGGCCCGCCCGGCGGGGGCGGAGCTGCGGGGGGCGGGGCCCTCAGCCTCCGCGCCGGCGCCGATGGGCGGGCGCCCCCCCTGCGCGTCCCCCCAAGACCGCGGCGGCGGCAGCGGCGGCGTCCAGAGCCCGGAGCCGCAGCCGAGCCGGAGCCAAGCGGGTGGCGGCGCCATGGCGTGCGCGGGGCTGCTCACCGTGTGCCTGATCCGGCCGCCTGCGCCCGAGCCCCCGCGACCCCCCGCGCCCGCGCCCGCCGCCGGGCCCGCCGGACACGCGCTCTTCCAGGACGTGAGTGGGGAGCGGGCCGGGGGTGCCGGCGCTGTGGCCCTGGGGGTGGTCAGTCTCGCGGGGTCGCTGCCGGTCTCTGTGGACTGTCTCGCACTGTCTCTCCATGCCCTCGCTCATTCTGATTTTCCCCGTCCCTATGTCCATGTGTCTCCCTCCAGGTTTGCTGGGGGCTCTGCCTCGGCCTCTGGGTCTCTCTCTCTCATGATTTCTCTCTTGTTCTCTGTTTCCGTGTGTCTCCCTTATCTTTATCTCGCTGCCTTTGTGTCCCATGTTCTGCCTCTCACTCTTTCTCCGCTTCTCTCTCCTTGCCTCTGGTTCAGTGTCGCTGCCCCCGCGGCCCCCCCCACCCCAAACCACCCCATGTATGTGTCTGGCCGGGCGGGGGCTGTCAACTCTTGGTCACAGGAGCGGCCACGGTGTTCCTCTCTGGCAGCCCCAGGCTGGGCTGACCCAGGCAAGGGGGCCTGGGAGAGGAAGCAGCCGCTCCCCGCCCCCCACCCCTGACTCCTGACCTGTGCTGACCCCCGACCCCCTCAGATCCCATCCAAGGGCTGTGGGATCCCAGAGTTGGTCGGCGCTGCCCACACTCACCCTCTGTGGTCTGCACACCCTCCCCTTGCCTGGCAGGTGGCCCTGCAGCCCCTATGAGCACCTACCTGGAGCACCCTGGCCCGGCCGGGGTCGCTCACCTGCACCCCTTCCCCACCTTTCACCCCTGTGCGCAGCCTGTCCTGTTCCTCTTGCGTCCCCACTCCCAGAGGCCCCTTTGGGGTGGGAAAGGCTGCTCTCCTGCCCCCTCCCCACTGCCCCTAGTGACTCAGCACCTTGGCCAGAGCCCTCTCAGCTGGAAGGGACCTGACCCTTCCATTTCCCAGATGGAAAAACCGAGGCCTGGAGGGGTAGGGATATGTTCCGGCTCACACACGGAGGCAGGGGCGCCCTAGGGTGTGGCCCAACGTGTCCTCAGTGTTCACAGCTTACAACCCCTCCCCCTCCTCCAGCATGTCTGTCTGTCCTGGCCAGGCACCCTGGGTGGCTCTGTGACCCCGAGTGAGCCGGTGGCAGCCTTCTGTGAGTCAGGCTTCAGGCCAGGGAGTGCATTCATCCCTGAGAAGGCAGCCCGAGGGGAGGGGCACTCAGAATCTGGAGCTGCCAGGGCTCTCTGTCCAGGCTTTGGCCTGCCCCTCCTTGCCAGACCTGGTGCCCTCTTTGCTGGGTTGTTTTGGGTGACCAGGGAGTCTCTGGTCCCTAGAGGAGACAGGGACCATGTCTGGACTCCACTTTTGCTACCTCTGTTGTCCTTCCTGTCTGTTTCTCCATAAATACCATCTGTCCACCCTTGCTTTCTGTGCCTCTTACTCCCCCTGCACATACAACACATACATACACATACGGGCCTGCCCAAGACCATCGTACTGAGTTGGCCCTGGAAGGGTTAACCCTGGGCTGTTCCCCGGTATGCTACTGAGTAAACAGGCACCCACAAAGGAAGGGCTAGCCACCGCCTGCATGGCAGGATCTCAAGAAGCTGACAGAGAAACAGCCAGGAGTGGGCAGAGTCTGGGACGAACCATAGTCACACAGCAGAGTTGGGGTTCAGGTCTGGGATGGGTGCCTGGGATCTTCCAGCCGCATCTTGGCCCATCTCTCCACCTGCCTCAAGCTGGGACCGTTCCAAGGGCTGATGCATCAGAGAGAACTCCGGATTGACTTGGGGGTGTGGGAGGTGAAGGTGCAGAGAGCCAGCTTGGAGCACCCCCCACAAGGCCAGGCCCTGCGGGAGAAGGGAGCAATCCATGGGGCCCGCTGTGCGCTCTTCCCCATGTTGGAAAAGGCCCTGGAGGGCCGAGCTGGGCAGGAGGAAGGGAGATGCAGGGGGCAGGCCGGCCAGCTGGGGCTCTGTGGGTTTGGGGGTGGTGGGGCTCTGGCCTCCCAGCTTCCAGCTCCCACCCCTGCCCTTTTGTCCTCTAGGTTTTCCGCCGAGCAGACAAGAATGGTGAGTGTGGCTTCCCCTGAGTCCCATGCTGGGGGTTAAGGGGCATCAGAGAGGCTCCGGGGAGGGTTTGGAGCACAGTTGAGAATGGAGAGAAATCTTGAGAGGATCCGAATCAGAAGAATGAACCCAGGTGTCCTTCTTGGAGGAAGTTTTTGTTTTGAATCCAGTTTGGCAGGAGGGAGAGTGGAGGAAATGTGGTTTAGCCAGAGGCTGGAGATGGGGGCTGACTTTCACGCAGTGTCCTGGCCCGGTGGGAGGGTTCTTCCTGTAGATGACCTCCTGTTTTCCTCACCACCGCCGAAGTCTTCACCCCATTTCACAGACGAAGGAGCCGAGGCCCAGAGAGGTACAGCAGGCTGCCGGAGGTGCTGGGCCTTGAACCTGGGTCTATGCGATGCCTGGTTCCAGGCTCCCTCTGTGAGGGGCTTAGAAGGGTGTGGTCACAGAGCCAGCGCCGTGGGGGATTTTATCATAGATTCTTAGAGAGCTCAGTAACTTTCCATATTACCAACCAGCTGGATGCAGGGAGGGCGTGGGCAGGACAGAGCTAGGTCCAGGGAGTCAGCTCCCCCGATGCCCTGAATCCTGGGCAGTCTCAGATGCTGGCCTGGCAAAATCTGGAAAGCTAAAGCAGGAGCCATCAGGGGACCTTGCAGGCAGGCTGCTGCCCACAGATGACTCAGAACAGCCCACGGTGCCCTGATGGGCCAGTGGAGGGTCTGAGTTGAGACCACCCGTCAGCTTTGACCTCACCTTCACCTGGCCTCCTCGAGAGAGGATGGGTCCCCACCCCTTACCTCTTCTCCCTGGGTCTCCTCAAATTTGTTTCAGCCAGTTGATCAGGGCACGTGGTCTCATTTGGATCACAGCATTCCGTCTGGGGAGGGAGGCTCAGGCCCTCCCCAGCTCCACTCTCCCACCCCATCTGCTTAGAGACCTCACAGGCCAAATACCCAGTGCCTCTGGCCAGTGCTCTTATGCTCTCAGCCTCTGTGATGGGGAGTCAGCCTCTGTGATGGGGAGGTCTTTCCCTCCCGAGCCAGTCTGCTGCTTCTTACTGGGGCCCTACTCTTAGGAAGATCACATCTGACTCCCTGCCGCTTCTCTGTGAAGGGCCTGGGTCCAGAGCACGGAGGTCCTCTCCACCCGGGAGCCATGTGGGCAGAGACCCAGCCCCAGTTCCTCCAAGTGACATCTAGGCCCTGCCATGATCTGACTGTGCCCCAGGCTGTTGTTCATTTATTTCTCCATTTGGCAAACATTGAGTCCCTGCTGAGTGCCACGTATGCACTGCTTTGTCCCTTGGGCGCCTGCAGAGTGGGCCCTGTTGCTTGAAGTGGTCACCTCTGGGGGGCCCAACCCTTTGGTCCCCAATGGCCAGGCCTCCCTTCCAGCCCAGAATCCCATCTCACTTGGCTGGGTGGTTATGAGATGCTGCAAAGCCTTCAGGGGGCCTCCATCGGGTGGCAGGGGTGCAGCCAGGGCTCAGAGATACTGACTCTGTGCCCTGTGCCCACCCCCACCCCCCAGATGATGGGAAGCTCTCATTTGAAGAATTCCAGAATTACTTTGCTGATGGGGTTCTCAGCCCCGGGGAGCTGCGAGAGCTGTTCAGTGGTGTTGATGGGCATCCCGCTGAGTGAGTATGGGGGTTGGGGTGCACATGCTGCGTGTAGATGTGAGCCCAGGTTGTCCCTACCCCACTGTGTCCCCTGCTTGCTTGGGTTCCTTATGGAGGATGTGGGGGAGGGCACGGGGAAAGGAGTGCCAGGGCTAAGTGCCAGCTTTACCCGCCTACCTACCCCTTCCCTGGCTCCAGCCCTGCCCATCACACTGCTTCCAGCTGGGACCCCAAAATAGCCAGGCCTGAGCTGAGTCACCACCTATGGTTCAGCCCACAGGTGCCCCCCCCCCCCCATTCCTGCTTCCCGCTGAGCGACCAGCGGATGCCTGGGGACAGCTGGGCCCTGCCTGCTCCCACCCATGGATGCAGGTGCTCCCACATCTCCAGGCCTTCGTACAAATTTGCTTGCCTTCTCCTGCTTCCTCACATGGGTGCACATGTGTGCACAGCTATCCCTCCCTCTCACTTCCCCCTACTCCCCCCTCCTTAGAAGAAATTCTAGGCTCCCATGCCCTCCCATTTTCTGAGGCTTGGGCCAGACCTTTGTCTGCACTGCTGCTACCTCACCACCACCAGATACACCAGTCAAATTCCTTGTCCTTCAAAGCCTAGCTTAGGGAGCCTCTCTTCCAGGAAGCCCTCCTTGACCTACAGATACTCCATGCCTTTTCTGCGCTTCCACAGACCTGACTTCTCCTTCCCAGCTCTAACCACTCCTCTTTGGCCTGTGTTCACATCTGTCTCCCCCAGCCTGAAATCCCCGTGGAGGTTGAGAGAGGGACTGAATTTTTCTCCTTAGACACTGTTTGGTGGGCTGGTAGTACCCCATCTCTGTCCACTGAGCAGCTTAATGTGGGGTGGAGTCAGAAGCTGCCTCTGTGTCAGGCTGAGCTGCGCAGGGAGAGGAAAGGACCGCTGGCTTCAAAGTCAGTCCTCGTTTACCAGGAGGGTCTGAAGGACACCTTCTCTTTTCCCTGCAGCAATTTGGAAACGGAGAAACTGTGTGGTGAGTAGGCCCATGGGGATGCTTGTCTCCCGGGCAGGTGGGTGTCGCTGGTGTTCTGATGGAGCAGGCTGGGCTGGGCTCAGGGTATAAGGCCTCGTTGGCTGCTGGAGAATTCTAGGTTGTAAATGGGGGGATGTACCCCAGGAACCTTTGAGTATCTCCTCTGCCCTCAGACTACTTCTCTGAACACCTGGGTGTCTACCGGCCTGTGCTGGCGGCGCTGGAGTCGCTCAACTGTGCTGTGCTCACTGCCATGGACACCACCAAGCTGGTGAGTGGAGGGGCTGATGGTTGCAGGGGGGTGGCAGGTTGCTGGGGGTGTCTGCTGTGCTGTGGGAGCCTCCATCATCAGACTCGGGGCTGTGGGGCTAGAGGCCTGGCTTCCACTTTCTGGTTGTGCATCTTTACCTCTCTGGGTCTCAGTTTCCTCATCTGTAAACTGGGCATATTAATAGAACCTACCTCCAGACATTCATTGTGACAATTAAAGGAGAATGAAGGCAGGGAGTTTTGTTTGTCTTGCTCTCTGCCTGGCTCACAATAGCCACTTCATATCTGGAGCTGCTGCTGCTTTTATTACTGACCAGACCTGATTGTTTTGGTGTATCAAGCCCAACTCCCAGCAGGGATGGGTTGGGGGTAGGGCATGCTCACACACATCCACAGGCCCACGCTGGTGTGTAGAGCTTGGTGGGGTGGGGGGTGGGGGACAGCCCGAGGACATGCGTGAGTAGACAGGCATGTGTGCACCCATGTGTTTGTGTATATTATAGACATGTGCGCACAGCAGAAACAGTGCTCACAGCCAGGGCTCCAGGCCCTTGGATGGTATTTTTAAAAACACTGAAAGCTACCCTTCCCTTTCTGTGTTCCTTGTAAGAGATGTCTCCACCTCTCTTTGTCCCATAGCTCTGAATGAGGGGACGAGGAGGGAGCAGTGAGCAGGCTTGGGATTGTGCCTGACTTCATTTTTACAGAAGGGGAAACTGAGGCTCTCTGTGAGTTAACAGTCAGCTGAGGACAGGGCTTCCCCTTCTGGTTGCTTTCACATTGGGTCTAGCAGCTGCTCCAAGGGTTACCCTTTGGGGCCTGGCACGGGATGGGGATCTGAATGCTACATGATGAGAGGTTGGTATGCTATGATGACTTCCATATCTGTGGCCTGGACACCAGTAGGGGCAGCACCTTCCTTGTTGCCATGGAAACAGGGCCTGGGGGTGGGCAGCTATACTGACATTCTCTGAACTGACACTGGTTAGCGGGGATTCACACCGCAGCTCAAAGTAAGAGCCCCAGGGTTCCTGACCACTCCCTCCTGGCCCAAAAAGGGGTAGAAGGTGACCCATCACCACACGACTCTGTCGGCTGTAATCACTGAGGTTTTTATCTGGCACTCAATGCCTCTGACAGCTGCCGCTCAGCCTGCCGCGCGTCTGCCTCTGCAGCGCCCCCTTGTGGCACCGCCCCTTCCAGTCCAGCAGGACTCAGTGGAACACTTCGTGCACCAGCCTAGAGCCACATTCCTGGTACATGGCCCGGGTCATCCAGCGGCACTGGAAGGTGCGCAGCGAGGCGACCATGGAGCCGCCCGTCCACACCGCTGTCCCGCGCCCAGGCTTGGCCACCAGGCGCGGCTGCAGTGCCCCACGGCATTGGGCCTCCAGCTCCAGCTCCAGGCGCTCAGGGAAGCCAGGGAAAAGCGTGGAGCCACCGGCCAACACCACGGTGTTGGCCAGCCGTGTCCGTAGTGTCGCGGGCACCCTCTGCAGTGCCCGGGAGGCCAGGATGGGCAGTCCCGGCTCAGCCTGGCCTAGCAGAGCTGGCTGGAAGAGGGGTTCTGGGCAGCAGAAGCGCTCTCTGCCAAGGCAGATAGAGCACCCACTGCCTAAGTAGAAACTGACTGGGTGCTGGCGGGCGGGATTACAGAAGTCACCCTCGAAGTCTAGCGACACGTAGCAGCAGCGCTTCTTGAGCTGTGTGATGACCTTGTGGGGCAGGGCCTGCAGTCGGTGATCAGGGCCTGCTGCCACCAGCAGGTCCCGCAGGTAGCGCGACAGGGCGCTGCCAGCCACATCTAGCCGGAAGGTGGCCTTGTGCCACGAGTGGCCCGCATAGACGGGCGTGGCGTGGCACACGCCCGCGCCCGCCTCCAAGGCCAGCCCGCTGAACGCGCCCACGGAGCAGAGCGCCAACAAGGCGGTGCTGGCCAGGTGGCACGCGGGCACTGCCAGGGCCTCGAACAGCAGCTCGGCCACCCTTTCGCGGCCCACGGGCGGCGCCGATGGGGAGTTGCTGACAAGCACGGGCCACTCCTCCGGGCACACCCGCAGGCCGCCCACCAGCAGGCGCTCCCACAGCCCCTCCAGCGCTTCCCAGTCCACCACCACGCCGTGCTTGATGGGATGTGCCCGCGCCACGCCGCCCGCCAGCTCGCAGCCCGGCGCCCCGGGCAGCACCGGCCGGTCCCAGCTGGGCACCAGGCTGGAGCTCTTGAGTACCAGGCGTGGCTGCTCCTCTCCCGCGAAGCCCGCCTTGGTGAAGCCGGAACCCTGGTCCACCACCACCGCGACGTGGCCCAACGAGGACAGCCGGCGGACCCGGCGACTATTGGCCAGAGAAGCCATCTTCGAGCCGGCAAGCCCTGCAGTCAAAACCTCGGCCCCGAAGGCTCGGACCCGCCCTCGGCCTGAGAACCGCGTCTCAGCTGGCCTCGATGGAGGCCCGCCTTTTAGCTCGCTGCTCTACCTCCTGGGCCCACGTCCCCCGCCTTTCTGGGCTCAGTTCTTGGGCCGCGCCCTCTGGTCCCGAGGTCCCACTCTTCTGGCCTGAGTAGAGGTCTCTTCGGCCCTTGACTTGGCTCCGCCCCTGGGCCTGAGCCCCGGCCTTCTGGTTCAAGAGTCAGGTTCCTCCCTCGCCGGGCCCTGGCGGCCTCGGGCAGTCTTCCCCCTCTTCCGGCTCAAGGCCCCACCCTCTCTCTGAGGACTCTCCTCAGCGGTGCGTCTCCGCCCCCCTAAGCTCTTGCTTGGATGGATGATGAGAGGGGCGGGCCAAATCCTTGAAGAGATTGAGAAGCCTTCAGGAGCAGCTCTGGGAACAAAAGGCCTTTGTGGCAATATTATCCAGACATCTGTCCCCTTCGGGACCCAGGAGTCCAGCCCGACCCTTGAGCCTCCAGTGGTCTCCTGGCACTTCTCGACTGGTCATGACCAAAGTACTGTGGCTCCTAGTGGAGGTGGGAGGGGGTGGTCAAAGAAACAAGGAAAAGAACTTGGATCCATTGTGACCTCAGTTCTCAGCATCTGTTGTGCTTCCATAGCCTCTACCCAGATGAAAACGCCCAGACCCAGCCTGTCTCCGGGGACAGGGCCATTGGTAATGATTTTCACACCCAGGGATGTGGCCTCAGCCACCCAGCTGTGCTCAGCCTTTATGCTCAGTCGTGTCCGGCTCTTTGCGACCTCATGGACTGTAGCCTGCCAAGCCCTTGTGTCCATGGAATTTTCCGTGGAAGAATACTGGAGTGGGTTGTCATTTCCTTATCCAGGGGATCTTCCCAACCCAGGGATCGAACCTGCATCTCTTACGTCTCCAGCGTTCTCAGGCGGATACTTTACCACTGAGCCACCTGGGGCCAGCACAGCCAATTTAATTGCTTCCCCCAAACCACTTTGATGAGCTCTGGACAAACGTGCAGCCTCTCTCCTCTCAACGCTGAAGAGAAAGCTCTTAATCACGGATCTCCAGCCACCCTGAAGATCTCTGTGAGCTTAGCTTTCAAGGGCCCAGGTAGCCCACAAAGGGATCCTACCTTCAGGGGCTTACAAACGTGGGCCTGAGTGTGTGACTCAATTCTGAGGCTGCCTTCACTGTGTACTGAGTGAGTCCGAATCTCACCCTGGGCTCAGTTACTTCTTTCAAAAGGCAGTCATCCCCCCCACACAGGAACTCTTTAGGACCATTATGGTTGCAAGTTGAAGACCTATTCAGGAGAGTTTAAGCTAAAATACGGATTTTATCACAAGAGCCTTGTATGTTTTATATATACTAAAGGCAAGAGTAAAAACAGGCTTTAGGAAAATACTGGAAGCAGGGTCTGGCTGCCGGGCTGTGGGGGACCCAAGAGGTGCATTGGGCTCTGCATTGTGTTTATATTCTTCTCAAGACTGGCTTCAGCCTGTGCATGTTCCCAAAGAAAACATTGTCTCCTACAGTTCCTGAGGTGGAGGAGGGGACAACAAAGGGTGAGATGGTTGGATGGCATCCTTTGCTCAATGGACGTGAGTTTGAGCAAACTCCAGGAGATAGTGAAGGACAGGGAAGCCTGGCGTGCTGCAGTCCGTGGGGTTGCAAAGAGTCAGACATGGCTGAGCAATTGAACAGCAGTTTCTGAATTACAGGCCCAGGGAAGGAACTGAGAGGACTGGGCTTGGGCCAGTTGCTTATGCCAGGAGATGTGGCCGCATTGAAGAAGGTGGTTACCTTGACTGCAGCCATGTGGATGGTAGGAAAGGGTCAGTTCTCACAAGGCAGCGGGGGAGGTGTGACGGGTACTGCAACCTCCAGCCTGATGCAGGCAATGTGGTGTTGACACTGACAAAAGTGTACCTTCAGGAGAAGTTAGTCGTACCTGTGGTTTTAGTGAGCTGGGACCTTCACCCCTCTGCATCGCACCCTCCCCACCCCCCGCAAAGAGGCATTTTGAGATTGGTCACCAGCGGAAAGTAGGCTGCAGGTTCGGCAGGGCTGGAGCGGACAAGAATGACTAGGGTCTGGCGCTGGGTTTGGGACCCAGGAGTGTGAGAAGCAGCCGGGTCCTGCCCACAGAAAGTGTGCCAGGCCTCTAGTGGATGAACTAGGGAGGTGAACCTTGAATCGAAGACCACAAGTGGCAGTATGGCCAGAGCAGGATTGAGAGTGGAAGTCACTGAGACGCCCCAGAGGGGAAGACGGAGGCTGGGCATCTGGGCCTGTACATTCCAATCATAAGTTTGGGCATTGGAGAGCCAGTGTGAGCTTATGAGTGGAAGTGTGAACTGCCCTACAGATAAGTGCTTTGGAAGAAGCCTCTTTGGCTGCAGAGTGGGGAAGAGGATGGGGTGGGGTAGGTGGGGAGACGGTGACTGAGGTGCCTTGGGGGTCATCAAGCACAGTGGGGTAAGATTGAGGGGTCAGAGGACCAGGGGCCCCAGTCTTTCCTCCTGGGTGCTCTCACAGGCAGGATGTGAGTCTAAGGCTCAAACTGCTGACCTCGGCCTTTCTCAGTTCTTCCCC